GACAACTCGTGAAGGAAAAGAAAGATCACCTGATGCAGAATCTACAAATTGTCCATTAATTAGAAGTTGAGTATAATTTACTTTGACGGATGGAGAGATTGGTGACTCAATGGAAGCATCGGTGCTATATTTACCAATTCCTCTAACCACAGAAGAAGACCTCCCTGGTTAAAGTAAAATCAAGTCAACTGAGTAAAAAATATAAACGGGGTAGAACTACAAATGTCAAATATCCAGTCAGAAAATACTACAAACACCAAAATTAAAGAAAAGTACAGGAAGATAGACATTTATGATTATTAATATTTCTATATTGGCAGATGATATTTTAAACTACTATAATCTACAAAGTATGGAGACTTCAACTTAAATGCAAATAAACGGACACATTATGCTTTGACTAATTAATCAAACTCATGTATACTTAAGTAACATATTTGATCACCAAATAGTGTGACAAATGACATGATAATGTGGTAGGGACATCTTTTGAGATAATCATGACTAATGTGACATATTGCTCGTTAAATAGAAGGGCTATTTCTCCTAAAAAAATGCAAGTTGGCCAGTTGGGTACATATATGATTGAGTTGAGATTCTTTTTAATTTTTGTGTTTGAAGTCTAAAAATTCAAAGATTTGGATAGTTGAAGAGAGAAAATAAGAGATTCAGAGCTTAGGGTGGGCTGATAGAATGACTAATAAGGATAGTAAGATTTAAAATGAATGATCTGAATATCTAAGATTATCATTTTTGAACACACAGATTCGGAAAAGATTTTATTTCTATATCATAGAAAGATACAGTGGGTGATTGAGAAAAAGCCAAAAGCCACCGTTGAGTTTGACTAATAAGAAAAGCTAAAAGTCAGAAATAGGGATAGCAAGAATACTGAAAGGAATTTCTTCCATCAAATCCACCAAGTTAAAGAATCAAGTTCTTAAAATTTGATTAAACAGCTAAAAACATGAGTCATTTTAAAAGTTATATTAACTTTAGCTGTTGGATCAAATTTTAAGAATCCGAATTCTTTGATTTGATGGATTTGGTGGAAGGGATCCTTTCTGAGACAGATTGTCTACCCTTCTGTTACCGTGTTAATCTTATCTTCTCTTATTTATGCGATCACGGTTAAGCTATGTCAATACGCAGAAAAACCGATCTTTCCGGAGGCCTACATCAGCCAGCAAAGAATAAGCCAGTGGTGGGGTCGGTTTCAGGGCCACTTGAGATCAGAGATCCAAAAACGCATGCATCTAACCCTCCAAAATTCTACCTAATCTATTTCATGGAAATCCAAATTTTGTTTATTCAAACAAAGAAAATTTTAATCAAACCACAATAAAAAAATAAAGGGAACTGATTTCACACACTTTTTTTCTTATCCAGAAAAATCAAATGACGAAAATAAACAAGTTACATCGAAAGAAAAAAATGTGCAGAAATTATTTTTTATTCAAATGTCAATGTAAACTGAAGAAAACTCAAGAATTCAAGAAATACAATTTATGATTATCAAATTCAACATGGGTTTTGTGTATTTTGCAAAATTTTTACACCCAAGTTCTGAAAATTTCGAAAAAGATTCAATCTTCAGTTCTTCATCCTACATTTTTCTCACCAACCAAACAAAGATGGCAGCTAATGCATGATATTACAAAATGCAGATCACAAACCGATCGGACCCGTCGGCCATATGATCCAGGCAGCAGAATATAAACAATCAAAAAAACACAACAGATCGAAAAGGCGTTGGAATTGGGGAATTGGGTTAGTAGATTGATTACCTTTGGAAAACATAGAAGCAGAAGTGAAGGAACGATTCAAAAGCGAGCCGACCCTCCGAGTCACCATGATCGATAGTTTGCAGCACCACCACTGATCTCTTGCTCTCTCAAGGTGACAGGTGACGGGCTTCAAGGTGCAACTCCAAAGGTGTGATATATACAATATGAGAGAGAGAGAGGCCTCAAAATATATAATTACACAAAATCAAATGCACATCAACAGTTAGTGGGAATTCCACAAAGATAGGCGTTTCTTTTGCTGCTGCTGGAAGGTTGCAAACTTTATTGCGTAATATTATTGTATTATTGAATTGTTATTACTGATTGGCTCACGAATCATGGCCAACCCACCACACTCATAAGAGATTTTTCAATGGAACACAAAATAGTACTTCAGACAGTATATATGTAGTATTTCGAGCATACTGAAAAATCAATTTAAATGAAAAATGAAAGCATGTAAAATCTTCATGTTTATGTTTCTTGGATTTGGATCTCATCCAAATTCTCTTTATGAAGATCCTAAAGATTCTCTTTGTGAGGATTTTAGAGATTCTCTTTCACTATCTATCCGTATATCGTACATTGTGCGGTCAGAAATCATTTTGAAATTTTTATTTAAAATTACATACAAACAATACGTAACGAAAGCTGACCACACGACTACCTGAACGGTGAGAACGTTTGAATCCCTAGAATCCTCACAAACCAATGCAAGAAAGTAGATTTGGAGTGAAAATTATCATTGTGGCCGGAATATAGGGTAGAATATCACATATTATATAGTTATAAAAAAAATTCTTTTCAAGTATCTCTTAAATTGTATAATATGTGTTGTTCTACCTTGTATTTTGGCACACTAAAAAACCTCTCCAACTTGGGAGGGACATTCCCATTTGGCGCTCTGAATTGACTTATCTTAAGTTTAGGTGTCCAAATTGATAACTGCTGGTGTTTGTGTGGCATAAAAATTATCACATTTGTGATCTTGATCAAGTCAAACAGTTCTTAGAAGATAGTGTGTTTTGGAATTGCGACTTTTTACAAAGTAATTTTCTGCTATTAAATGATATTCTTTGGGTGATAAATGTATGCTTGTCAAACCAGAGAGATAATCATACACCAGCTCAAAGTCTCAATTTTGAAAATTGACCTTTAGAACTAAAGTTAAGAATCTTGATCTTGAGTGCAACATCTGTCTTTGAGAAGGAAATCTTAGGTAGGGTCGTAGAGCTTCCTGATTAGGGAAACTCTCATATTGGGTGAGATCAACATAAAATGAGATTAAAATACATAAGATCTGCTATTATTGTTTTTGGAGAATTGCCCTACGAATAACGTGATCGGGTGTCCCTACACAGGATTTTCTCGATTCTTAGGTTAAGTTTATTGTACTCATTCCAACCGGCCTTCCACTATTTTTAAATGAAATTTTGACCTCCAATGAGCTTGATTAGCAGGAGAATTGTACCGTGCGTTTTGTCCCATTGGTTTGTCATTCCCTTAAATTCTTAACAACCAACTTCAGAAATCGCTCTCAAGATTTCTACATTCGGCATTACTTGTTATTTATATCAATAAAATATTGTGGTTTGATTGATTCTTAACTAATTGTTTGATTAACAAAATGCTAATCTTGTTTAGATTAGCCTGCATAATACATGACACGACAGAGCTATCTCACATACACCAGCTTTCTCTCTTCTGCAATTGTTGCGGAGCAGCTTTTGATGATTACTTATACGCCTTGGGGCACAGGGCAAACCGGACGGGGCACAGGGCACCCCGGACAGTGCAGCTCTTCTTAAACTCCACAGAGCAGACAGACTGCTTAATTTCAATGAATGGTATTAAAGATGATGTTTTGAGTTGTGGAATTGACAAGCTAACAAATGGAGCCGGCGGATGCTCTGACTACACGAAAGTAGATGTTTTCGACAATATGAGGAACACATTGGAAAATTTAGATGAAGATTGTAAGCTTTTGGGCACGGGCGAAAAGTCCGAGCAGGATCAGGCTTGTAGTGCATGTCTGAGAAGGTGGGAAGAGATTGTAGCATCGTTGGAAAATGAGTCGTCGTCGTCAAAACTTGAAGCTGATACTTGTGGTTTTGCAGTTTTGGTAACTTTAACAAGCAGGAGGATTGATGATGAGAATTGGGTTTCAGCACTGTATGAATGCCTTGGGGATCAGAAACTTTCAGAAGGTATAGGCTGTCAAGAAAGAAATTGATACTGTTTCATGTCTTCATTTTTTACAACAGTAAGTTGTATCATTTTGTTAAACTGTTGGAACTGCTTCTGCTATTAACTCATAAGCGCTTTTACTAAGAAGTGAATTTAGAAACAGTAGTCAGAAACACTTTTTGTTGTTAGAAAATTCTTTGAGCCCTTATAGAAGCAGTCCCAAACAGACCCTAAACTGGAGCTGAGTATCGCCTTTGCTTCCTTTGCAGATGTGCAGAGAAGTTCAGGAAGTACGGGTGTAAACTTGAAAACAGGTAATCTAACTTCCTAATTGTCACCACAACCATGTCGGGAAGTCGCTGGCAGTTTTTTTTAAGGTCAGTCATGATAGTGTTTTGATTAATTTCATGAGAATGTCAGGTCTGTGGATTCTATGTGGAGGTCTGGCAGGAATTACAGCAATAATTCTCATTGCAACATGGACCGTATGCAGAAAAAGGACTCATGAGAGTATTTTAGCTCGAAAAGATGGTATTTCTGCAACAAGTTTCATATCTTACTAGAAATTAACATAACAATTGTAAATTGTTGCTGACCTTGTTTTACTGGACAGCATCAAATGATTTACTTTCTGAAGAATCGGTCAGCCTTAAGATATCAAGCAAGGAAATCTATTCAGCGACCGACAATCTAAGCGCAGTCAACTTCATTGGCCAAGGCGGAGCTGGTAAGAATCTCCTAGAACGGTAAGAAAATTGGTTAGTTTTATGTAGGGTTTCTGTAACTTCAGGTCTGAGTTTGAATATGTTGAATAGTTCGGGAGCAACTCGAAATTAGCCATAATGTTTGGGTAGTTTTTATGTAGTTAATCCGAAGTTTCCCTTCTGATACCATCTGATAATATTTCCAGGAAAGGTATACAAAGGCATACTATCAAATGCGAAACATGTTGCAGTGAAGCACATAATCAACGATGGATCTGTTTAGACATTCATGCGCGAAGTAACGAGCCTTTCCGATGTTAGACATCCAAACCTTGTAGCTTTGCTTGGCTCTTGTGAGGATGTAGAAGAATATTTCCTGGTCTATGAACTGTGTCAAAATGGGAACCTTCCGGAGTGGCTATTGGGTAAATTCCCATTTCCATTCGTGTAGATTTTCTCAGGCGTTTTCATCATTTGGAAGGCCAATTCAATCAAAGCTGATTGCAGGTAAAGATAAAAATCTACCATGGAGAACGAGACTTGAGCTTGCGATTGACAGCGCTAGGGGTCTTTGGTTTCTGCACACTTATCCGGGAGGCTGCATTGTTCACCGTGATATCAAGGTAGGAACATATATTTTTTCTTTACGCCGCCACTGTAGCTGTTCGTTTACCACTCTTTTCATCCGACTTCTTTTCTTGTCGCATTCCCAACTGGCAGCCAACAAACATTCTCATTGATGAAAACTTTCGATCAAAACTGTCAGACTTCGGGTTATCTAAAGTTATGGACTTGGGACAGTCTTATGTGAGCTCAGAAGTGAGAGGCACATTCGGTTATGTTGATCCTGAGTACCGAAAGAATCACCACGTAAATGCTTCAGGAGATGTCTACAGTTTTGGAATAGTTTTTCTGCAACTTATCTCAGGGCGCAGGGTTATCAATCTAAACTCAAACAAACCAATGCCTCTTAGTAAAATGGTAACAAAGTTCATACTTTTTCCCCCACATATTGGCAAAACTATTTCGAGTCCCTGATTCGGCTTCTTATGTTCCTCATCTTTGTTCTTCAGGCAAGGGCTCTCACAACAGGAGGTGATGTAACAGAATTCGCAGATCCCAAACTTAACGGGGAGTATTCCGGTAGAAGCCTTTGACCTTGTGTTCAACCTAGCTTTGTCGTGCACAGGACTAAAGCTGCAGAGAAGCATGGAGCAAGTGGTATCAAAACTTGAAAGGGCACTTGATACCTCAACCCGAAAACAGTCAGCTTCTTTTACCCTACCAATCAAGCCTGGAAATCGGAGAAACTCGAGCAGATAGTTTTGTACATTGAAACAATCATGAATGATTTATTAGTGATTTTAAATGGAAAAAGAATTACAATACATTGCAATATAACAATGATTTTGTACAAAGCTTCATTGAAAAAAATAGAAGCTGTTCATATCATACATACAGTCATTAGCTCTTGAAATAACCGAGCCAATAACGAAACCAAACCAGACAGATAATCAAACTAAAATAACACGATAAGTATGAAAGTGCAGAAAAGGAGATTGGGTGTTACATACCTCATATTTAAGATATTGAGAGTGCCGTCTCTGAGCTCCGCTCTACTGCTTATGCAAAGGATGACGAACTGATCGCTGCTTATAACCAAGTGATCCACTTCAAGAAGGTCGTTGACAGGCTTGAACCTCAAGTGTTGGAATTTCAGGGTGCTTTGAAGATCAATGATAGTTTGAAGAAGGAAGTGGAGGAGCTGCAGCGCGTCCGTGCTAGTCTGCTCGAGGAGAATGAGCAGTTGAAGGGTGAAAAGGCTAGGCTCGAGGCTTCGCTTACTCAGAGTCAAGCTGATTTCTACAAGTTGGATTATGTAGACCATCTCTTTGGGCGGCCGGCTGACTTTGAGTTTTCTGGTAAAGACTTCGAGACCTTCTTCATTTCTTCAGAAGAATTGCTCGCCTTTACTTCCGAGGCTTCCATTGGTGAAATAGTTAGAGAAGCTGATGCCCAGGCTAGAGCAGCCGAGGGTAGAGCGTTGAGTGGTGTCGCTGCTGAGGGTGCCACGGCTGCTGAGGTGTGGAGACCGAGTAGTCACGGAGCGTCCAAGCTGTTGAGGAGTAGTCTTGTAGGTAGTCTTTAGGATTTTCTTCGTTTTACTTTTTGCTTTTTGCTTTGCTTGAACTCATTCGGTATTTGCTTGTCGTTTATCAATTTTGCTAGAAAATTTTATAAACTCACTTCTTTCACTTTTCTCCATCTTTGCTTATTTTGTTCATGCCCTAACCCTTAGACTTTATAGACCGGTGGCAGGCATGCTACTTTTCTATAAGCAGACAGGCCCGCGTAGCCTATGTAGCCGTAGGTGTTAGTGTAAAACTTTACAAAGTTGTTAGCCATAAGGTTAACAGCCAAACGCCTTACTTACAGAAGCAGACAAGTCTGCATGACCACTAGGCTGTTAACCTTGGCTTTCTCCAATTCTGTGGGTTGTGTAACAAGTATCACAACACTTTAGGACTTGGTGTAGGTCGTTCCGCGCTTTGGCAGAAATGAAGCCCATCGATTGCGTAGCATGTCGACAATGGATGAAGCTTTGTATATGCGTGCTAACTTGTTTAACCTCTCCTAGAAACGTGCGATTGTATAATTTTAGTGCGGCTTACTACTCGAAGGGCAAACCTTAGGTAGTCTTCTGGAAACCGTAGGCTACCTTAGTGCACTTGGTAGCAGCTTTAGGGTCCCAAGGCAGCTGTCCATAGGGCGTATTGTGTAATGTGCCCCTTCCGTCTCTGAGGCCCAGTTCCTCGCGGATTAGGCCAAGAGACCCAAAATCCTTCAATTAGCTAAGCTTTGAAAAAAACCATTGTGGCTACTTCTAGAAATCCCGACGCAAGCTATCGTGCATCTAGTTATACTAGGGCAGCCAGGCTCATCCACATCTGGATATTCAGAGTGTTGAGTTTATCCTCCTGTTTTGGAGAGTAGACCCATGTGGGTGTCGGAGAATTGGTTTACCCTCTCGCATTAGAGAGCATGGTTGGTCTTTCGGGGGGGGTGCAATTCCTGCGATGAGTCCCTAAGTAAGGCGTGATCTTCTTTTGAAATGCAAGAGTGATCAATTGTTGTAAGCATGTAGTTGAGCCAAGTTGTAAATTACTTCTGAATTCCTCATTGAAAAATGAGTGAAATGAACAAAAAACTTGGCTGTAAAGTAGATACTGCATAACAATTGGATAATTCTCGGCTCGCGAAGTGGTGCCCGTTGAGCTGCTTGAGTTCTTCAGGCTTCAATGTAGTGAGAGGTCACACATGGTGCTTCCTCAGATTGTAGGCCTTCTACTGCTTTTCGATCTCTTTGTCGTTCATGGTGGCGAAGGTGTAATTACCTTTGCCGCCTACCCAGCTGATCTTGTACGGACCTTCCCATATGAGATCCATCTTTTTTTAGCCTTCTATGCAGGCAGTGATGAAGGTTTTCCTTAGGACTAGATCTCCAGGGTTGGAACTGCCGGATCTTGGCCCTTTTGTTATAGCTGGAGATGAGCTACTGGTGGTAGGCTGCGATACGGGTGATAGTCTGTTCGCACTCCTCATATGCCAGATCTAAACTTATGGCCATCTCATTACTGTTTTGCTCAATGCTTAGCAGTAGAGTGCTAATACTTTGCACGATGACATTGGGAGGAATAATTGCTTATAAACCAAATGTTAAAAAGAAAAGAGTCTTACCAAAAGCTTGTCGCTTGGTCGTGCGATATGCCCATAGACATCCGAGGAGTTCGTCTGACCATTTTCCCTTCTTGTCGAAAAGGGATTTCTTGAGGCAGTCGAGAATCATCTTGTTGGATGCTTTGGCATACCCATTACCTTGAGGATATCTCGGCATGGACATGTACTGCTTGATGCTATACTTTTGGAAGAACTTCGCCAAATCTTTACCCATGAATTGCGGGCCGTTGTCGGTGACGATAGATTGAGGGATGCTAAATCGGCAAATGATGTTCCTCCATATGAAGTGTTCTATGTTCGTTTGAGTCGTGGTTGTCATTTACTTCTATCTATTTGGTGAAGTAATCGGTTGCCACGATCATCATGCCTTTGCCCCCAGTAGCGGGCGGCATTGGCCCTACCAAGTTGATTACCCACTACATGAACGGCTAAAGACTCATCTGCGGGTGTAGTTTGCTGGCAGGCAATGCTAGTACCGGCTTGTAGCATTGGCAGCGGTCGTATTTTTGTATTAACTCTTTAGCATCTTGGTGCATGGTAAGCCAGTAATAGCCTGCGTTAAGAGCCTTTTGCACTAAAGATAGGTCTCCATAGTGATTTCCACAAACATCTTCGTGGATTGAGCTTAGAACTTTTAGGTCGTCGGGAGACGCTAGGTAGTGGAGATGTGGTCTACTATAGGATCTTCGGACAAGAATACCGTTCCACATGTAGTAGTGTGCCGCCTTTATTTGAAACTTTCTAGACTCCAACCTTTTTCGTGAGGAAAGTGTTATTGACCAAGTAATCTATTATAGAATTATGTCAGTTGGAAGTAGCACTAACCTATGACATATCGGCTGTCAGCTTCGCTTCTATGCTTAGTTTATCTAGATACTCCACCAGAATTGAACGTTTGAGTTGGTGGTCAAGGGCGGAGCCTAAGCCGGGTAACACGTCAGTGTGGGTGTTGTCTACCCGCAGAACTTGAGTGAGGGTGTAAGTCTGAAATGCCTCAAGTTGCTTACGTAGCTTATCTAGGTATTGCGTCATCCTCAGTTGTTTTGCCATGTACTTCCTAGTAGTCTAGCTGGTGATTAGTTATGAATCAGAATGAATTGCAAGCTTTTTCACTGCCAAGTCTTTTGCCATTCAGAAGCCTGCTAGTAGGGCCTTATACTCTGTTTCATTGTTGGATGCTTTGAAGCCTAAAGTAATCGTTTGCTCGGGTATCGAACCATCTAGGGTGACAAGGACCACGCCTGTTCTTGAGCCTTTGTAGTTGGATACGCCGTTAACATGCAAATGCCAGAAGTCTACATCGGGTGGAGCAGGCACGGCTAAGTTGTGTTCGGCTATTTTCGAGGCATCGTTGTGCCGCTCTGTCGCGTTGCCTAGGCTAGGCGTAAATTCTGCTATGAAGTCTGCCAAAACTTGGGCCCTTTTCACCGTACGGGGTTGGAAAACTAAATTATATTGGCCAAATTCCAACACCCATTTCATCACTCGTTGAGAAGCGTCTGGACCATGTAAGATTGATCGTAGAGGACATTGAGTCATGACGATGATTATATGAGCTTGAAAGTATGGTATGAGCTTTCGAGCCGTAACAACTAGTGCCAGAATTAATTTCTCGATCTTCAAATATCTAGTTTCCACATCAATGAGAGCTTTAAAAGTGTAGAATACCGGTAATTGAGCCCCCAACTCTTCTCATATGAGGGTAGAGCTCACTGCTACTTCTGAGACTGCCAAGTAGATGTATAAGTCATCCATTATTTCCAGCTTGGATAATAAGAAAGGTGATGTGAGATACTTTTTCAGGTCTTGGAAAGCTCTTTCGCACTCATCATCCCATTTGTCTCGTTATGCCATCTTGATAGCCTTAAAAAAAGTTTGCATCAATCAGTGGACCGCGAGAGAAAGCGGTTGAGGGTGGTTGATCGTCCAGTCAAGCTTTGGATCTCCTTCAAGCTAGTTGGAGACTTTATTTCTAGGATTACTCGGATTTGTTTGGGATGTGCTTCGATTCCTCGTTGGGTTACTAGGTACCCTAAAAATCTGAATGAAGATACTCCGAATGTGCATTTGGCAGGATTAAGCTTCATCTTGTACTTTCTAAGGATGTCAAAAGTTTCTGCCAAGTTACCGATGTGATCTGATCGTTGCCTGCCCTTTACTATGATGTCATCGACATAGACCTCCATGGTTACTCCAATTTGCTTCTTAAACATCATGTTTACTAACATTTGGTAAGTGGCTCAATCGTTCTTGAGGCCAAAGGGCATGACCTTAAAGCAGAAGGTGCCCCGTTCGATCAATAACGTGATTGTCTCCTTGTCGGGCTCGTACATGGCTATTTGGTTGTAGCTGAAGTATACGTCTAAGAAATTGAGCAGCTGGGTCCCAGTAGTCGAATCTACTAATTGATCGATTCGGAGAAATGGATAAGGATCTTTTGGGCATGCTTTGTTGAGGTCGGTGTAATCTATGCAAACTCTCTACTTGCCATTCTCTTTCTTCTTCACTAGCACGACGTTAGCAAGCCATGCTGAGTGCGCTACCTCTTCTATGAATCTGGCTTTGAATAGCTTGTCAATTTTAGCTTCGATAATCGTCACCCGCTCGGGTGTGAAATGTCTTCTATTTTGGATCACCTGTTTGGCAGCGGGGTCGACATGCAGCTTTTGGCGAG